GGAAGGGATAGTGATCCTAAGTAACCGTGAGTTAGGTCCTTGGTCTCCCTTTCACCTTGTCCCAGTGGCCCGCCTCTGAGTGTGTGACAAGGAACCCGGCCTCCCTGCTCCGTGGCACACTGTGGGCCCAGCCAAGGGAAGTCGCCCAGTGACCCCTCCTATGGGGCCAGTGTGTGCTCTCTATACATTATTTTGTCCTTACAACACCCGCCTAGATGGGCTTCAGTACCCCAGTTTTCTAGATGGGGACATTTGGCTAGGGCCACAAAGCTGACAATGATGTGAAGACTTGAACTTGAGTCAGTTGGCCCCAAAGTGGAATATCTTTACCGTAGATCATGCTCTCCCCAGAGTTTTTGTGGACTGAGGAGCGTGAGCCTGATGAGGTACCCAGAAGGGGACCGACTGCCCCGATTTCTTCCTTCACAGCCCAGATGCTGTTTCTTTCAGGGACGGTAAAGTTGGCTCATCTTCCTTAGGCTTCATCATGGCCAAATCGGTGTGCAGCAGGAACCCCTGGCAAGGCCGGCTCAGCCATGAACTTGAGTGGTCAGTGAGGTCTGAATGGCGGGCTCAAAGGATGACGTGTTGAGCCTCACTTGTGTTCTGAGGGAGCTCACCTTCTGTGTTGGGCTCCATGTTTGGCTGTGAATGTGCAGAATATTTTTAATGTGAAAAACCTGGCATCGTAAAATGTAGAATTGCAGGGTGGAGGGATGGCGCTAGTTGAGATCCCAGATTCATAAATTTAGCCTCTTGACAGCTCAGTTGTGCTTCCTGGAGTTCCGGGGGGTACGAAAGCCGACACCTTCCCATAGATCTCTGGAGCATTCGGCTGAATTGCTTTTGCTCTCAGAGCTATAACTTTGAATTGCTTGGTTTTGTTTTAAAAAACAAGCTGACAGCAATGTGGGCGTTGGCTTATTTGGAAAGCAGGGGACTGAAAAGGGATTTGGAAGACAGTACCCATCCTTGGCTTGATTCCTCTGGTGGTCTCCTGAAGAGGACTTCCAAGATTGGCACCACCCCACAGCTCGTGGACAGCTGTGGGCAATGGAGCCACGGACACAGGGCTCCACCGTGGGGTCACAGGCAGGGCTGGGCCTGGAGGGGGCCGGATTCCAACAGATGCTGTTGAAACCCTGAGCCCCGCATCGCATCAGGACTCCCTGCTCAGTGGGGAGCCTGCTTTTCCTTCCCTCTGCTGTTCCCCCTGCTTCTGCTCTCTCTCTGACAAATAAATAAAAACCTTTAAAAAAGAAATTAAAAAAATCAAAACCCTTCAAGCAGGATTTCTTCCCTTTCCACTAGTGACGTTTGGGGCTAGATAGTTTTCTGGTCTAGGGGCTGTCCTGTGCACTGCGGGGTAGCCCCACCACTATGTAGTGACAGCTGTCTCCTGGCGTTACAGATGTGCCAGGGGAGAGGACGTTCTGCATGTTGAGAACCCTTTTCTTAGGGAAAGGAGGGAAGAAGGGCCAATAACATCTTTGTGCGTGCCAACCCCCTTCCCCCACCACCCCTGAAGACCTTTGTCCGCAGGGCTGGGATTTGAGTAAATAGTTCCCAGACACAGAATTTCTAGTCACTTGATGAAAGTTACAACTTTTAAGCGGGTTAATTCCAGAAAGATATCTTTGCTGGTTTGTACTGAGATGAGGCATTAGAAGACCAGAAATAGCTATTTTCGTTTGGGGGAGTTTTTCAAAGTTAGCAAATCGAGAGAGGTTCCAGGAGGGTTCTGTGACATTTTCAGGGAATGCATTTCTGAGCAGTGTCGATCTGGGACCACGTTTGTGGTTCTTGTGGGACTGGCCCCTGGGGAGCCTGGTGAGTGTCTGCTCTGGCATCTCTTCATGGGTGCAGTGGGTGGGACTAAAAGTGCTGGCTGGGCCCTGTGTGCCGCAGATTGGAGGAGATGGGCAGGGGGCCAGGTTCTGTCCTCAGGGCATCCCTTGCTCCCATCCCCTGTCCCCTCCCGTCTTCCCCCTCCCGCTTTCCCCCTCCCACCCCCGCTCCTCTGGGCAGGCCACTGCAGTCTGCAGGCAGGTGAATGAACAGACATTGAAATCAAACCATCAGGAGTAGATAATGGTGCTCAGGGCAGTGGTTTTCAAACTGTGCTCTTTTAGCAGCTGACATTACTTTTTCTTCAAACAATACATGCAGAAACCGCATGTAAATAAAGTGGGTCAGAGCCATGTTTGAGGCCAGAGTGCAAGATGGGGACCCACACTCCTCCATCCCTCACCTCCCCTCACCTCCCCTTGCTTCCGAGGAGAAGGCACTTTGCATTATACGTCTGACTGAAAGTAGGCTAATGCTTGGTTGGGTAACGATCTTTTCCTTTTTCTTTTTTTCCTGACTGGATCTATCTTTTTCTTTTTTTTTTTTCCTATTTTAAGTTAAAGTGGTTTTCAGGGACGCCTGGGTGGCTCAGTTGGTTGGACGACTGCCTTCAGCTCAGGTCATGATCCTGGAGTCCCGGGATCGAGTCCCACATCGGGCTCCCAGCTCCATGGGGAGTCTGCTTCTCCCTCTGACCTTCTCCTCGCTCATGCTCTCTCTCATTGTCTTGTTCTCAAATAAATAAATAAAATCTTAAAAAAAAAAGTGGTTTTCAAAACCATAAACCAAGATGGAGATAATAATGCTGTTCCATTGCGGTCTAATTTTTCTTTCAATAGAGAGGCAGATTCAAGGGCTGAGAACAGATACACATACATACATAGAGAATATATGTATTCTAATATAATATATTAGGTACATAGTATATATAACATTACATATTATAGTAATATATAATATAATATAGAATAATTATATAAGTAAATATATAATTAAATGTTATATATTTAGTATATATTTTGTATATTTATTTTAATATATATAAGTAAAATATATAATATACAATGTATTATACATTATATTAATTATAACTAAATATATAGAAAAATAGAGAACAGAATTCCCCTCCCCTCCATGTAACGGTTGTCATCATTTTGGTCATATTTGCTTCACTTTTTTCCTTAAACTTATAACAGATGAGAATTTTAAACAACATTCACAATAACAAGGTCTGGGAATATTTTTACCCAATTCCCCTTTACCCACCCCTCACACACCACTGCCCCCGTTTTCATATTGTGAACCGATGTTATTTGAATTTAATTTGTGAAACCTATGTGAGGGATACCAATTTGATTCAACATGCAAGCATTCTTCTTTTTTTTTTTTTTTACTTAAAAATTTAATTAGTTAACATATAACAACATGCAAGCATATTTATATCCATTTAGATTTCAGGAGCTTCTCAACCTGAGCAAAATGAAACATACAGAGGATAGCCCCTGCCCTGGGTTTTGTTAGAAAATGGGAGTTCTTAATTGGCCTCTCTGGAAAACTGGGGAAAATTAGTTCTGTGGCATCCTGCAAGGGCTGGGGGTGGGCAGGTAGCTGGTAAAGAAGAGATAAGGACATCTCAGAAGGTGAACTTGGGGACGCCTCAGTGGCTCAGTCAAGCTTCTGCCTTCGGCTCAGATCATGATTCTGTCCCGCGTCAGGCTCCCTGCTCCATGGGGCGTCTGCTTCTTCCTCTCCCACTCCCCCTGCTTGTGTTCCCTCTCTTGCTGTCTCTCTCTCTTTCTCTCTCTCTCTGTGTCAAATAAAATCTTCAAAAAAAAAAAAAAAGGTGAACTTGGAGGTTTGGGGAAATAAACCCACCCATTGTGTGCTGGTCCCTTTCTTGAGTTGGCAAAGTGTTGGTGCATGACCCCCCTGCAGACCTGGGATCCTGGGACCTCGGAAGCTGTGTCATGGGCCTCTCAGCTCATGTCCCGCTGGGGGACAGCTCCCATGGGAGCCAAGCTGTTAGACTGGCAGGTTTTTCACTACCTGCCTTGCAAAAGGAGGAGTGGAGACAGTGAGCAAAGTTGAATTCCTTGTTTTCTTGGCGTTTGCTCTGCTGTTTTTACAAAATAGCACGTAAAAGGACCCAAGAATCTTACATAAGAAAAATAGCCCATTGGGGGCCCCAATTTATCTGACACCTTGCCCAGTTCCTGTCCCACTTGCCCTCCCATCCTGGGTTTCAACTCTGTCTTCATTCATTCATCTGAAGAAAGACTGGGTTGTTTGCACTTTTGATAAAGTACGCCTTATATCCATAGTCTTTTCCACATGGAACCATATAGAATGGTCCCTGCCCTACGATCATTTCGATGTTAGCTGTTTTTTTGAAGTTAAGGACCACTCGAGAAGTGTGACCGTGTACAAGTTTTATGCTTACTTGACTTTATCAACTTAGAGATTGGTTCATCGGTAGCTTGTTTTTAAAGATTCTATAGTAAATGTGTTTTCAGGAGAGAAAACGTATTTTTGGAACCTTAGATTTAGGCTTGGAAATGCAAGCCAGGTGATTTTCCGCTAAGTTTAAATTTTAATAATGATTTTAATGGGTCTTCCTAACCAGGCAATAGCCTGATTCACCTAATGGAATAAATGGAATATAAATAAGTCTAAAAGACCTTCCAGGGCCCAGTGACAAGTAGAAACACGAGATTTGTTTTCAAATGAGTGTCCTGCGGAAGTGGGCAAGTACTCCTCTTAAATTCTGTGATTGCTTTCAAAATGAACTACATTTGTGAATTAACATCACGATCCCCAAAATACATGTTGACAAAAATGATAATGCCCAATTTCATATAGTGTCATTCACCTGTTACTTGCATGGCCCCGGGGAGAGGTGTGCAGAAGACGGTGAGTTTCTGATCATTAAACTGACCGTGGGAAAGGTAGGGGTGGCATTTCAGTAATAGCTTTCTTCCCAGAATGAATTGCTTCTTCCCTCACTTTACGAATTACCAATAGAGGTTGGTAAATATTTTTGCAGTGTGGTTGCTTTTTAAAATTGAATCACAAGGCCCGTGTATACGTTCATGGTGGGGTGAGGGGGAATGTTTACAATGGCCTATGAGTAATTTTCCCCCCTTCTTTGGCAGGAAATAACTACATGTTTACCAGATTACTACAAATGGACTCAGTACCTCTTTATTAAACTCTATGAAGCTGGGCTGGCCTATCAGAAGGAGGTAAGTTAAAGTTACCTGCACTGTACAATTTTTTTTTTAAATCTCAGTCTTACTAGAGCACGTCATGGTTAACCAAGCTACAAACCCTGCACAGAAGCAGTAGAAATGAACCCTACCTCAAGTTCATGAATTCAGTCATGGCAGACCCAGAAAGTAACTACTTCCTGGCTGAGTTTGGTGCCTCCAGGACAGTCCCAGGGCTTCTGTCACCCTTGAATTCCACCACCAAGTGTGCCCATCCTGACATCAGGGAGGGAGCAGAGGAAGAGAGGAAGTTTCTCTAAGCCCACGTCTGCTGCCTCTGTCAGCTGTGCGTATCCTGAGTAACTTTACTCCAGGAATCGTGTTTTCTCATCTACTAAATGGGTGGTACCATCTCCCTTGCATGGCCTGGGGGAAGATTTGAGATGCTGTTGAAAGAACAGCTCGCACAGTGGTGCCTGGGTGGCTCAGTCGGTTAAGCATCTGCCTTTGGCTCAGGTCATGATCTCAGGGTCCTTGGGATCGAGCCCCACATTGGGCTCTCTGCTCAGCGGGCTGTCTCCTTCCCCCTCTGCCACTGTGATCTCTCTTGCTCTCACTCTCTCTCAAATAAATAAATAACATCTTCTTTTAAAAAAAGAAAGAACAGCTATTGTAGTCCCTATATCTAGTGGTCTCCCAAGAAATGGGAAGTGCCTGTTTTGGCAGGGGCTCAGTAATGGTAAATAAGCCTTAGATGGGGAGGGAGGAGGGAAGGAGTGTCATAGTGTGGCCATGGTCTGCACTGTCAGGTGTAATAGCCACGAGCAGCGTGTGGTTGTTGATATTTAAATTTAAAGTAATTCAGATGAAGTGATATGAATAACCCTGGTCCTCAGTTACACCAGCCCCGTTCATGTGCTAGTAAGCTAGCATTGGACAGTGCAGATATGGAACATTTCCATCATAACAGAATAGTGACCTGCCAGCAGCACTGGTCTAGAAAATTCAGAAGCGACAAGTAGAAAATCCATTGCACCTTTATGCTGAAGACATTCTCCTTTGATCAGTGGGATTTAAAGAATTACATTTGCTTTTCTGTGGTGATGTCACATGGCTTGGTCTTGCCATGAACAGACTTACGTAGTCATTGTGTTTTAAGTTGAAAAATGTTTAGAATCCGGCACCCAGGCGACTTAGTCGGTTGCCTCAGTCGGTTGAGCTCAGGACCCTTGAGTTGATCCCAGGATCCTGGGATCAAGCCCCGTGTTAGGCTCCCAGCTCGGCGGGGAGTCTGCTTTTCCCTCTACCCCTCCCGGCCCCCCCGCTCATTCTCTTTCTTTCTCTCAAATAAATGAACAAAATCTTTAAAAGAGAATTATAATCACTGTGGAGACAAATGCAGAAGGCTCGATTTGAATTTCACAATAAAACCAAAATTTCACAAAAACCAAAACCCTTGACAACACAAAAATCATATGGCTGATCAAAATTAGAGGGTGAAATCGGGGAAGAAAAGGAGAAGTGTGAGGCGATCCCTTTACCTTTCATAACAACACGGCGGAGAAGAAGAGCTCTTAGAGGGGTACGTCTGTTTTGTTTTAATAGTTAGAAAGGTTGCCATTAAAGCTCAAGGTAAGAAAGACCCCAAAAACTAGAACAGGGGTCAAGGGTGGAAGGAGCGCTGTATGATCAGGCTGAATATTTCCTGTTCCATGGCAGAAGGTCAGTAAAACTGTCTAAAGGTAATATGCCAAAATCAAAGTGTGATTTACTAAAGTGACAGTGGTGAACACCAGGAGAATAGGCAGAAACTGCTCCAGGTGGAGGCATATTTTAATAACCATTCCAGATTATTTATGCATGTGCTTTCTTGATACTACACCAAAACTCAGCAAGTGGTGGTTTTTCAAAGTTAGTTGCGGTAGTAAATCTGAAACATCAATGAACTTTCATACTCTGCTACATTGAAATGCATTGGTCTGTCTTGCACTTTGAATGGATTTTTTTTTTTTTTTTTTTTTTTTATATCCATTCCTCATCTTGTAACATCATGCATCGGTCCCTTGGAAAATCCCCGTCTAGTGAGTTATGCAGATCTTCCAAATGTTGCCATATTTCATCTCAGAATACCATCAGAAGAGTTTTTAAGTGGTGGGAAGCTGTGAAGTTCATGGTGGGCGGATGCAAGTTTTTTAAAATTCTGGTATTTTTTTTTCACTTCAAAGTTCAAATTTCATCACTAACAACAGAAACCATCAGTTGTTTCCCTCAGAGCAGCAGACTCACATCGTTTATTTCTGCGAACATGTTTGCCACGTTCCTGAGTCTCAGTCACCATAGTCGATCATCAGTCATTCTTTCACATAAAATCATAGTTACATGAAAAAACTAAAAATAAAAAAACTGGCCAATCCACTCACCACTCAGATAGTCCCATTTGTGCTTTCTCTCGAGACAACTGTCCAAGTATGGCAACACGTAGGCCTAACGTCCCATTTCATCACAGAAAATATGACAAGGATGTGTGCTCAAGTGTTAGGATGTAAGCACACAAACACATTTTATTGCCTCGTCAAGCACATTATCAGTGAAGCTGACCTTTTTTTTCCCCCCTTTCCCCCGGGAGTGCACAGTGGTCAGGAATCCGGTGTCCCCTCGTAGGGTCTGGCGCCACCGCCTTGCTTCATGCTGAGGGACGACGGTCTCACGCACCATCACTTTTGTACCCTTGGTGCAGATGTGAACACAAGGAAAAAGGCCAACAACGTCTTATTATAATGAAGAGTTTTGACCTGCAGACCCCTTGAAAGGGCCTCAGGGAACCCCAGAGGTCACACTTTGAGAACCACTGTACAAAGTAATCAACACCTACCCCTGTGCCCTGCTCCCATCTTTAAATTGAGAATATTAATATGTGGGTTATTTAAAATACATTGCTGTTGAGTTGATTTTATTTTTTTGGAGGAAGACCCGAGTCCCCATTAGCATTTGGGGGTGAATTAATTGAGAATTTTGTGGAACTGGAGCATACTGATGTCCCACTCCTATAGACCTCCCTGGGTCAGTTTAATTTCTTAAAAGCCATAGCCGTGCCTGGGCCCAGAGCCCCCTCAGGTGGGCAGTGGTGAGAGACCAGAACATCTATCTGGAGTTCCTGCCCGCAGTAGACCTTTTTGTATTGTTAAAGTGTAGTTTCCAAAAGTTACAAACCTGGTTCCCGCCCAGATACAAAATGAACATGCATCAGAGGTTTTATCCAACTTATCGTTAGTGGGGAAACCAGTCATAGGTTAAGACTGGTTCAAATTGAGATTTTGAGAATGGAGATTTATAGAGTCAGAGGAACACTGAAATGAACCTGCTAATAGAATCCAAGCCACCTAATGTCCTACAAGGCAGTAAGCCTAACTTTGGGAGTATCCTTCACTATGAAATAAATCACGTGCATTTTCACTGGATGGGAGCTGTTGGCATTATTCTCAGATAGAAACCATTTGCACTGGGATGAGTTTTCTTTAAGTTAAGCTCTCCCCTTGCACCCGGGCTGGATTGTAAAACAACTTAAATCATAGTAAATAAAAAGCCAAACCAAGGTACCAGCCTCTAGAAAATCAGATCATCCCTGGGGGATATGGGCCTGCTAGACCACCCCAGCCTACATGGAAAGGATACTACTTCCTGGTCCCTTTTGTCTATTTCTGAGATCTGACTAATTTTTCTTAAAAGCATTATTCAGCAGTTTGAAGGGAAAGGGTAGGAAGGGAATGAGTGGAAAATTATCAACAGATTTCGGCGTTGATCTGGTGGCCCGACAGGCTCATTTCCAGAAGAGCAGCCCTGGCTCCAGTAATTATATCCAGAAGGGGCTTCACACTGGCATCACCCTTGTGTCCAGGCAGAGGGAGGGAGATAGCAGGAGCTACATTATGTTTCCCAGGTGACAGGATGACCTCAGATCCAAGTAAGACATGAAAGCGGAGGGTGCCCTGCAGGTAAACCGCAGGAAAGGGTAAACGGTTGGTGGAACAGTGTAAGCAGGTGTCTTGGGTTATCCAACGTTCCCTTGCCGCAGTGGTGTGGTTACTGTTGATTTTCTATGCTTCTACCTCTTCCTCTGCCTGCTCCTCCCCTGCTTGTGCTCTTTGCTCTCTCTCTCTCTCTCTCTCCCCCTCTCTGGCAAATAAATAAATCAATAAAATCTTCAAAAAAATTAAAATTTTATATGCATGAGATGTTGAAATGATGGGGCGCATTGACTTAATAGCGTAAGCATTTCTGGCACGGAGCCCTTGCGTGTGCTGTGTAATATTCCTTCACTGGATTTTATTCTTTGTAGCTATTTATTTTCTGTTTCAATTGAATTTTTGAATACATTGAAGATTTATGGTAGTATTCCTATACATAGGACACTTGCTTCTCTGTCTCCGCCCTTGGGTTTTTTCCGGTACCTCTCACAGCACATCAAAGATAGGAAACTGAACCTTGTCACTCTTGGGTTGGATCCAAAGCCAATCACACGTGGCATCTTAGGAGCTAAGCAACTTTTTTAAAGACATTAGGGATTCTGGGAGAGGGTCTCATGGCATGCACACAGGCTCCTGCTGGCTCCAGATGTCTCTCTCCTTCTCACCTCGCACCCCCCCCCCCACTGCATCCCCTTGGAGAACACAATTCAGTTTCCTCCACTGACAGCTTCTCTCTTAGAAACAACTTGTATTCATTTCCTATTGTTGCTGCTGTAACAAGTGACCACAAACGGGGTATTCTAAAAACAACACAAGTTGATCATCTTACAGTTCTGAGGTCAGAAGTCCATTAAAAGTGGGTCTCCCTGGGATAAAAAGATGCCAGTAGGGCTGCCTTCCTTCTGGAGACTCTAGAGGAGAATGGGTTTGCTTGCCTTTTCCAGCTTCTGGAAACTGCCTGCTTTCCTTGACTTTTGACCCCACTTCCCTCTCCCACCCTCAATCTACAAAGCCAGAGCCTAGGATCTTGCAGTCTCTCTGCCCTGTGCATCCACCATCCCACCTCCTTCT